CAGAGAAATAATCCTTCGGAAGTCAATGCTGGACGATTGTAGAGGCGAGAAATTCGACGAGCTCCTTGCCTCATTCTCCACGGCCGTCTTACGGAAATCGCTGGCTGCTTCATCGGACTCCAGGCTTCAGAATGTGGCTGCCAACCTGTCAATGGCTCAGGGCCTCACCCTCCGGGAGTATCAGCTGATGCTGCCTTTAATTATTGCACACCGGGCCTCCCTGAACCATATCGGCAGCGACTACGATCGAGCGAGAGATGCACAGGCGAAGTTCTCTCAGCTGCTGGACCTGAAAAAACGCCAGCTGGATGAGCGTTCGACGGAGCAGCTGCCACCGATATCTGGTGATGACGTCGACTTCGATGCGTTGGCTGGCGAACTCAGAGCCAATTGGCATGGCCGCGAGCAATGGGTTGATACACTGCTTCATTCGGGCGCACAGAGCACCAGTGATAGCTTCCTGGATCTCCCATTCGAGTCCGCCTGGGCAAAAGCAAAGGAGTCGAGCGTCAACGACCTGACCGCGAACACTAGGCCGGATCTGCTGGTCGACCTGGAGTCACGAGTCGTTCGTCAGCGCGCCCGCGTGCAGCGCTGGCGTCAATACAGCGCTGATATACAGAAGCATAATCGCGTAGACTCGACGAGCTCTCAGAAGACACAGCCCTCGATGGTGTTTCGTGATCATCAAGCATTGACCGTGGCGAGTATTTCCAGGGCCATCCGAGAGCCGGTGGAACGGGCCTCCTTGAAGGCCGAAGACCGAGCCCTTCTGTTCTCCATGACAGAAGCCATCGCACGCATCAATGATCGGCCTTCCACACATCGTCGGCATATCAGCGAATCGAGACATTTGCGCGAAATGCCTGTCATTGTTCCCTCCGCACCGGCCGAGGAAAGCACACCTGCTGAAGAGAGCAGCACACCGTCGCCTGTCGCCCAACAGCAACCTGCGCAACCTAACACGACCAAGAAAGAGAATATCCCACCACCACAGATAGAGGACCATCATGGCTCCGCGTTAGATGAGAAAGATCCCGAGTCCGGCACGAACACAAGCGATAGATTCACCCTTGTTGAGCGAACCCGCAAATCGATGTCTCTAGTCCCCCCACCTACACACACCAAGCCTCGGGAACGATTTCGATCACATCGACCTCGACCCTCGTTCCCTGTCAACCAATTCGAGACGCCTCGCAAACAACAACCATCCCCCAGCCGGGCCTCCACCCCGCGCGATGAACTGTTCAACGAGGAAGCGGACTACGCCAGTGTGTTCAAGTCCCGGCCGCGCGTCGCGCATAGTCCTATCGCGTCGCCGGCGGTGCATATCAGTCCGATCGGGGACTTCGACTTGGACGGCTCGGGTGGTGCCGACATAGATGTGGATGAGTTCGAGAGAGAGTACCTTGATCAGACGCCGTTGGCCTCCAGACGAAGATTATGATGATGATGCGTGATAGACCGTACATGAGCCATGCTTACATTGATAGTTATACCCATGACATAAATAGTAGAAACCAGACCCATACATCATAATATAATACATGTTTCGCATTTCACATCCCGCCAATGTACACCATACACAACCTGTCTATTCTACATGATCCGATTAGGGTTCCAATTCACCAACGCCACTGATCAAAAAATACACCGAAAGCGCCTGGGCTGTAAGCAAGCAAGCAGGCAGGCCATCATTTCCCTCTCGCTCTACCTCTGCCTCTACCTCTGCCTCTACCCCCACCACGCGTGCGTCTGCGTGTCGGTGGCGGTTTATACTCGGCAACGAACTCGTCATCGTCGTCTTCCGAGTCGGGAATCTCGTCCGGAGGAGGGGACAGTTCCTCGTCGGAGCTGGAAGAGCTGAGCGAGATGGCGTCTGCTTGGGATTTACCGGAGCCAGCGCCGGCGCCGGTCCCGGTCATCTCCTCGTCGCTATCGTCGTCTTCACCATCAGTATCAGCAGCAACAGCTAGAGGCGGGGTAGCCCGTTTGCGACGTTGATGGACGATGATCAGCTTTTCCTTTTCGTTGTCGTCGTCGTCGTCTTCGTCGTTGGCTTCGCCTTCTTGGTCGGGAAGGAGGAAGCCTCCGCCTCGGTCTGACGAGTCGCCTTCGCCCTCGCCAGGGAGGAGGAAGCCTCCGCCGCGATCTGCCTCCTCGTCCTCACCAGGGAGTAAGAACCCGCCACCATCACCAGCTTCAAAACCCGGTGTCGTGCCCCCCACACTCCCAGGATCCCTCTCATCCGGCCCCCCCGCAGCAGCCCCCACCACCTGCCTCGTAAAAGGATTCCTCTCCTCCCTCTCCAGATCGCCCTCCTCGCCCTCATCCCCACCCCCATACTCCTCCCGCACACGCTGGGCAATCCTCAACCCAAACAAAAACTTGCGCCAGGTCTGCAAGATCCTCGCCTCCGCCTTGCGGGCCTCCTTCTTCCGTTTCTCCGCCTCCTCCACGCGCCATGCATCCTTAACGAGCTCCTCATTCTCCACCGCGACCACCACCCCCTGAATCACGGGGACCGCCATCTTGGACCCGAACTCGAACCCCGTAACGGCCTCCGCGTAATCGATCCCCAACTTCTTGCAGATGCGCACCGTCCCCGGCCAGGGGACATGACACGCACCCTGGGGCACCATGCTCGGGACGAAGCAGTCGATATTCCCGTAGTCGTTCTTGGGGATGACGCCGTCGACGATGGGCGGGGGGATGATATACTCCGTCTGGTACTTGGCGTACAGGCCCTGCTTGGGCTTCTGGCCGGTCTCGCGCTCGTACTCGTCCACCTCGCGCTTGCGGAGCAGAGTGACGGCGCGGATGGGCACGTGTTTTAGGGGGGTTTGACCCGGCAGGATCTGCCGGCCTTCCTTGTGCCAGCTCTCCGCGGATTGGCATTTCACGACGTCGGCGCGGCGGTACACCAGTTCCGTTTTGGCTTTGGGGCCTTTGCCCGACGTGAAAGTGCGGATGTGTTGGGCCCCTGGCTGGAGGGCTTCTTCGCGCCGGAGGAAGCGCTCTAACACGAATTCGGGGGAGGTGCGGAGGCTTTGGAGGGTGTCGGTGGGTTTGTCACTAGTGGTGGGGTTTTTGCGTTCGGGTTGGTTGGGGAGGAGCGTGGTGCTGTTTTCTAGGGTGTCGAGGGCTGTCTCGTGCTGCGGGGAGCGCTCGTAGATGCGCAGGACGACGCGCGACCAGTCGTAGGTGATTACGGTTGGGGCCGCGGTGCGGCTGCGTTTGTTTTTGTTTTGCGGCTGAATGGTGATCTTCTCGACGGGGATGCGGAAGCCTTTGGTCTTGCCGGGCCAGGTCCGTCGGCGGAGGTACCGCGTCGTCACGTCCTTGGCTGTCTTGTCGGAGGAATACGCAATCACGTAGCTGATCACTTGTTTGGCCTTCTCAGCTTTGGCGCCCCGCGGTTCGAAGGCCGCTTGTAGCTCTGGGGTGGTGGCCACGGCGTTGGGGAGGACGAGCGCGTCGACCGGGATGATCTCGTGCGTGATCGGCGAGGCCGCTTCGGTCCAGTAGATCGGGAATGGGAGGTCTTTGTCGTATCCCTTGGGGTTCTTGCTGTTGCGGTTGCTGTTGCTGCTGCGCGATGGCGGTTTAGTCTCGGCGTCGCTGCTGCTGTCGGATTCGAGGCCGACGACCTCGTCCGTCTCGGCCGCTGCAGTCGATGCGTCGGTCGTCGGCTCGGTGTCGGCAGGCTTGGTCGGTTGCTGCTTGGGGGTGTAGGTCTCGGCTTTGGTCCAACCAAACCCCAGCGGTTGCAAGCTGGCCACCAGTCGGGCTTCAATGCCGAGGGCGCGGAGCAGCGCCGTGAAGAGCTGCGCGCCCAGATCGCGCGAGCCCTGCATGCGTTCGGCCGCCTGGCGGAACTCGTCGAGGTCCGCGATCCGCTCCCCGTGAACGGCGGGATCGTGCTCGTCTTTCCGGAGGGAAGCGATCTGCGCTTCTAGCTGCGCCATCGGTCGGTACCCCTGCTTGCGGAGGCCCGGCGCCGTGATCGTGAACTGCTTCTTCCAGTAGGCGGCCAGCACCTTGAGCAGTGGGATGATCGGGTCCCCGCGACTCATGTCGGGCTGTCCTGCCTCCAACCGCTCGGAGCCCTCGGTCCAGTCCCGCTCAGACGGACGACTCTGTTTTTGCTTGCCCTTGCCCTTGCCCTTGCGGGTTGGTCTCTTTTCAGGCGGCTTCTGCTCTGGCAGCTCCAGCCCCGACGAGACACGCCATTTCTTGACTTCCTTGTGCAGGGCAGGTGGGAGTTTCCGGCGGAGGATCTCGTGGAGTTTCGGGTCGTTCGCCCAGGCGTTGCGCAGAGCGTTGTGGTAGAGCAGGAAGCGCACGTGCAGGCAGTGGGTGGTGATGCGGATCTGGCGCTCGATCTTGGAGGGGGCCTTCTTGCCCTCGACGATGTCGGCCAGGTGGACTTCGTTCTTGTCGAGGGTCAATTCGAGGTCCTGGTGTTGGTGGTGGTGGTGAGGAGCGAGGATCGAGGGTGTCAGTGGCGTGGCGGCCCCGGCGCTGGTGTTGGCGCTGGCGGTGCCGGACTCGAACGCATCCTCCCAGTCGACCTCCTCCTCGGACTCGCTGTCCTCGTCTAAATCTTCATTGGTGGTACCTGGATTTGGAGTGTCTTGTAAGTCGTCAGGGACGTCGCTTAATGACGAGTCGCTAGAGGAGGAGTCGGTGTCGTCGTCGAGTGCGGCGGCGGCGGCGGCGGCGGGCGTCGCATTATGACGTTTGGGCGCGGGCGGATCCTCGTCGGAGACACGCTTGCGCGAGACGAAGGGGGGCATGCACGCAATTGATCGGGATTACTTGGGGGGATGGGTCGGAGGAGAGAAGGGTGTAGTGTATGAGTTGGATTGGAGTTGGATGGATGGTGGTTGTGTCGAGTTGTGTTGTAGATGTAACGAAGGCGGAACAAAGAGCGACGAGCAGAAACGATGAGGAAATGATTTCCCCTCATCGGCTTTCCTCTTTCTCCACTTCTTCCCCAGACTGCTCTTATCGAGTATCACCTTCGCACCGTCAACCAGATTATCCCTCACAGTATCTGGAATTTGATCTCATTCCGTACTGAAGACTCTACCAACTACGGCCTATTCACAATGTCTGCTACGATGGAAGCCGTCAAAGTGTTCTTCAGCTCGCCGCGCTTCGCCGTGGCCGGCGCGAGCAACGACCCGGCCAAATTCGGCCATCGCAGTATGCTCGATCCTGCTCGATAAGAACCATATCTGACGCAGTTAGTTCTGGCGTGGTACTACCACCATTCACTCCCTGTTACGCCCCTCAACCCGCGTGCTTCCTCCATCCAGCTGCACTCGACAAGTCTACCGACGGTCGCCTCGGTGCGCGACTTGCCCGCTCCGACCGAGACGTCACTGTCGGTGGTGACTCCCCCCGCCGTGACTCTCGCTCTCCTACGCGAAGCTTATGCGGTCGGCATCCCGGCTGTCTTCCTGCAGCCTGGCACTTACGACCAGGCGGTGCTGGACTATCTGGAGGGACATTTTGCGGCGGCGGTGGTGGGCGCGGGAGGCCGAGGCTCGGAGGGTTGGTGTGTCTTGGTCGATGGCGAGGATGGCTTGCGCGCTGCGGGGAGAGAATGGAAGAGTCAGCTGTAGTATTTAATGCCTCGATTTCTTGTAATGTGTTCTGTATATGAGAGATTAAACGGGAAGTCATGAAGAAAGCAGAAAAACAAGGTAAAGAGGAGGTTGGGGTGTAAACGGAAAGCATCAACACCAAATGGGGGGGGGGATAAATGAGGTATTGTATTGTTGGGGGTGACTTTCTTTCACCTCCGTTACCCCGTTCTTTTTTCCTTCCTTTCTTCTTCCTCTTCCTCCTCCTCCTCACTTCCTCTCTCTTTCCCTTCTCCCCGTCAACTCCACCCATTTGCATCTGCATCGACATCACCAACCCCTTTTGTTTTGTTTTGTTTTGTTTTATCTCTCAGATTCATTTTTCTATGGTTCATCTCGATCGGCACATCCTCTACAAGTGATTGCTGCACCAGAAGGATGCCCACCGGTTCGATCACTCTGGATTCGCCCATTCCTCCTCATCTCGATCTGGCCGGGGCGCCTTCGCAGCTCTTCCAAGTCCCTCCCTCGCCGTCAGCTTCATCGGCGCTGTATCGCTCTATCGCCGTCCCGCCTCGCAAGAGGGCTCGTCCCAACCTCGACCAACGCTCTTCTTGGCTGCAAATCGATGGCGCCTCTAGCCCTACTGTCCCGTCGCTGATCGGCCCCGACGACCTCCCGCACGGCGCCGATGGTATCGTCGACCTCGACTATCGACCCAGCCGGTATCGCGAGCCGGCCCATCCATTCCCTCTCGATGCCAGCATCGACTCTCTCAGCGAGGCCGGCGGTCTTCGTCGCAAACGCAGTCGGCGGGACCCTTCCCTGATCGCTGCCTCTCCCACCGGCCCGGATGAAAAGGGTATTCCTCCGAACGTCACACCGGACCCCTCCGATGCCGCTCCCGTCCGCTGGAGCAAGGCTGTCCTGGGCGTGGTCGGAAAGGTGTGGGATTTCTGCTGGTCCGGAGCGTTCCGGGGGTTCTACGCCGGCGGCGGTCGCGGATACAACATGAGCAGCGAGGAGGATGCTCTCTCGCCCTCGTTCCCCTCCCCGGCCAGCGAGAAAGAATTCCTGCCGGCCACTCCCACCGCCCACCTCGGTCAGCGTCAGCGTCAGCGGGGACCATCCACCCCTCTCCCCGGCGAGTATCCCGACGAGGATGATCTACAGCGCAGCTGGGTGATGGTTTCAGCCGGCAAGTCGTTCAGCCCGTCGTCCTCGCTCGCCACCAATCGCAGCACCACTCCCCGGCGGGTTCCCCGCCGCACGACAACCGCCGCCCACCACGCCTCACGTCGGGGCCGCCCCCACAACAAGCGGGTGCTGACGTCGCATGCGCCGTCGCTGCCGAGTCAACCCTACTTCTCCTCGCCGGCCATGCCGCGAGAGAGTCCGGTGTCCGTGGACACGCAGCGCCATATGGCGGAGATGCGTCGCATGGAACGCGAGGGGAACGCCAGCATGCGGAGGATGGAGAAGAAGCTCGAGGCGCTGATCCGCGAGGGTACCCAGGCGCTGGCTACACGCGTGGAGGTAACCGACTTGGACATGGAAGATTAACGCCCTCTTCTTGGATGACACACAAACTGATACCCTTCCTTCTTTTGTTGTTATTTGGACTCTTGTTTTTTTGTTGTTATACGACCTCGTCACGCTCATTACGATTCGACACGACAGCGATGGAAATTCGGTTGATGATTGCATGATTAAAACGAGTGCTTTTTTTTGTTGACACCAGAGGTCAGGCTCGAAGCAAACTGAGTCTCTGTGTGTATGAGACGGCCTACTTTTACAAGAACGATATTCTTATCTCACGAATAGTTCCCTGAACAGACCTTACGAATGACATGTCTACTTTGCTGCTCGCACTTCAGTTTATGATTCATTCTTCATTCATTGACCCATCCCCATCCATGCCCATGCTCGGTACCCCTCTTCCTCAGACATCCCACCCACCAACGATACACCCGATCAATGATATCCAGCAATTTATTGCCCCAATGCCGAGCTCAACGGCGAAGAAATCTGGATACTCTTCAACACCCCGTCCAGCCCCCCCATGCTCTGAATCATGCCGATCAGATCCGCCCCTTCCATGCGGGGAGCCTTGCTCGTGGACTAGAAGTGGTATAGGGTTGTGTTAGTATCAGTATCCAGCATCTTCTAATGTAGCTTCAGGGGCGAATTGGCGATTGTAGATCAATCGTAGTGTTAGGAGGTGGGTGTTGCGGGGCATATAACGCACGGGAATCGGCATCGCCAGGCCCGTGGCGACGAGGACGGAGGCGACTACCGCGATAGAGAATTTCATTTTTTTCTTGGGGGGTGGGAGGCTGGTGATGATTGTTAGTTCTTGATTCCGGGGCCAGAGAAGGTAAGGATGGTGTGGTGGTGGTGTTAGTGTACCTGTGAGAGGGGGTTGTTTGTCGGTGGGTTGCTCACGGGAACGAGAGGGAGAAAACACGGCGGAAAGGCTACGAGGGCGATGTGGACTTTACATATGTACTCCGTACTGTGGCTGTGGATGTGCTACGGTGCTGGTGCTGGTGCTGGTGCTGGTGCTGCTGGGTTTGGTATGTTTCGGAGTGTCGATCCTTGGAGGGGATCGCGTTGAAGGGCGTGTACGGAGTACTCGTAGAAGAAAGGGGTGGTGGAAGGGATGATATGGATGGGCCGTGACGTGTCTTACATTCTTGAGGGGGGGGGGAACCCTTGGGGCTGGTGTTGTGCTTTGGGTTTTCTTTTTGAGGGGATTTGGGGTAGTTGGTTGATTTAGAGACTTGGGGTATTTGGTTTTTTTTTTGTTGTATTTTGGATGATTGGGTTGATGTGTTTCTATGTCCCATGGGGGTGTTGTGCTGGTTGAGGTGGAAGGAGATGGGCCAGGGTTCGGCCAGCCAGATAGACAGGTCGGAATGCTGGCTTGCGAGGGTGGCATGTGGCTTGCTTTCATGCTGGAACAAGCTTTGCTTGGGTTGAGATTGATGATCATTGATACGAGAGAGAGAAGTGCGAGTGTTGGTTGTTTTGCAGGAGCAGGGGCACAGGCACAGGCATGGGGAAGGTTGCGTGGTTGCTGCAATGCAATGCAGTGGAAGCAAACTTACATGTACTGTACTTGCTGTAGTGGACTGCAGGATGATCTATGATGAGGTCCGTGCTTTTCAGATCCACAAACGACTGCATCCTCGTCTTTCGGGTCTGGGGGGGTGGAGAGCGAAGGATGGCTTCTACGGTTGGCTGATTTGGTCGAGAGTACAGTACTATGTGAGCTATGAATTGTTTAGGCACGGTACAGGCTGTACTTCCATCCCGCGACACTGACTTTGTTGATTTGGGAGATACAGAAACGAAAGATAAACTTGTCCCATGTCATGTCTCTTGATTGAAGAGCTGGGAAGTAAATTGTTCATTCTGTATTCGCAAGAAAAGGGGGGAAAACAACACCACCACCACTAGCACTTTCCTGAAGTGACCTCCTCGACACGTGCCGAATATCCAGCAGAACCACTGCATCTCCAAACTCCCACCGCCTGCATACCAAAACACATACTAGCCATGGAAGACAACATCATCCCAACTACAATCAAAGCCCAACATCTCAAGCTCCTCCCTTCTAAGCACCATCAAAAACTAAAAGGCTTTGGATGTTGACATTACCAAAACCACGCTGGCGCAACAACTCCCGGCCTCGGTGAACTGGGAACTCTGCCACAACCATAATGCTCACGTCCTCAGCACGTATGCCGGCTTCGACCAAGAGGTCCAGCACCGCACAAAGTGTCCTCCCCGTGGCAAGCACATCGTCCACTACCACCACCGACGCGCCTTCGGGAATCAAATCTTGCTCTATCTCGAGCCGCTTCTCACTCGAGTCACAGGATGATTCTCTAGGCGCCATAGACGAGATATGCGAAGTTGATTTGGGGACAGAAACAGTCGGTGGGGGGAGCTTGCCACCTTCGCGGATCAGTGCCAAAGGTACGTCGACTTGCATGGCCAGCGCCGACCCATACACAAAGCTACCGGCTTCGCAACACGCTATCGCACCAACTTTCGCCCAGTCACCGGTGAAATGAGATTGCAGAAGGGATGTACACAACGCAATCCCACCCGGCTGCTGCGAAATGCCCAGCACATGGCGGAAGTCAATGGCCGGGCGTGGAAAGTCGTGTACCCTGCGGACCATGTTTGCCAGTCGCTGCAGGTTCTCGTCGACGAGGGGAAGCAGGTGTTGCTCGCCAAATTCTCTCACTGCTTCGTCTCCGGGAGTGTCATTCTCGAATATGAGACTGGGGCAATATTCCAAGGCGGCTGGATTCGACGTGCCCTCGGCGCTGTCTGTCTTGTCCTTGAGTTCTTGCTGACGGCCCTGGCATCCTCGACGAGCCTGCCGTGTCTCTTCGCTAGCCTCAATGCGCACATCAATCAGTCTAGTACCTGGCACCAAATGCGAAAAGGCTGCGACTGGCGTCTGATCTCTCATTCCGGTGATCAGCAACACATCCAAGTCTACTGCCCCGTACACCACACCCAGAAAATGCTCCTCTGGCAGCTGAGGTCGAACCCGCGCTTGACCCCGGAAGAATTCTGTCAATGCTGGCCGGTGCTGTTCTTTGTAAGCACGATCTGACAGAAGCAGGTTCAGATCTGCACCGGTAGCTGCGGCATATGCTCGCTTCGTCGCATCGCTAATGCTCACTGTGCGCACCGTGAAGCTTCCGTGGGTGAATACAGAGGCCCAGATCCTGGCGCAATAGTCTTTCCCGGCGCAGCTTTCGCCCGTGATCAGAATGATGAGCTTATGCTGAGGTGCTTTTGGAAGTGGGCAGGCGTAGGCCAAAACGTTGTGCGGATCTAAGCTGTGCTTGATATGGGCCAGACGCAGTCGGTTCAAACCAAATGCCTTAGCTGCCAGCGCGGAGTCCCTAGGGTCTGGTCCCAGGTCTGTGCTGTATGATCCACTACTCAAGGGCAACAAGTCTTTGGCGACATCGTATACCCATCTCTCGACAGCTCCGGCCACTTCGACCTCATCTTCGCGGGGCCAGACACCACTTATCATGCACGCAAAGTCCCAATCTCGACAGCCAAAAGCAGTGGCATCAGCCGCCACATCATTGACAGCTCCGCCACCTTGCAACAGCTGGACATAGCAGAGTGGTGTGGGACGAGTCTCCATGGCCGTCAGCAAGATGTCAGTGACATCTGCTTGTCCAACTTGCTTCAAGAATAAACACCGCTTGAAGGAATAAGTCTTGCCGCTGCGATGTCCACCATGAATCTTGGTCATATACAAGTCGGCGTCAAACAGCCCGACACTGTCGACGTCTTTGATATCATGTTCAGACCCTAGGAATGTGCAGTTCGGCGTGGGATATGGTAGTTCATGCGTAGGATCAGTGGTACAAGCCTCAATCATGGTCACGCCAAGATGTAGCTGGTCCATGTCCAAGTACAGATACGCATCTGCAGTACAATTACGAGGAAGTTTGCTCGCAAACTGATCAAACTCGACGAGCTTCTGTCGCGCCTCAACACGGTCAGTTAACGGGATGGCCCAGTTTCGCACCGAATAGGCCGGAGCCACGAAAGCCTTGAAAGTGACGCTGACTATAATGCCAATATTGGTTCCAGCGCCTTTTATCGCCCACAGTATATCGGATTCGTTTTCCGGGCGGACGACACCAGCGGGCCTGTGCTGAATCGGCACATTGCCTACGCAGAGTATCTGGCTTGAGTCAACGCTGACCAGTACAGCGCCGACAATGGCATCGCATGCAAGCCCGTACAACCGAGCCAGATGCCCGCTACCGCCTTGCAGCCACAGTCCAGCTCCCACGCTCGGTCGTGACCCCAAGGGCACGGTCAAGCCCGCCATCATAGTCTTCTTGATGATATCGCCTGTCTTGCAACCCCCGCCAGCGACTACCACAGACCCAGAATCAGGTTTCGAGTCTTCAGTGCCAGCCTCAACCGGGACAATATGTACTTCGTCGAATTCGATCATGTCAACTGAGGCGACGTGAGGCCGTATGCAGTGGTCACTGTGGCCCCCACCAATGACTGTCAGGCCAGCACCGTGCTTCAAGGCCCATCTAACGCAATGCTGAACATGTTGGATGTTCCGTGGTTTAACAATCAACGGAGAATGATTGAGGCGGGCCACTCGATCTTTCAATGGTTTGTTCAACATGGGCACGAGCATTGTCAGCTCACCAAACGAGTTCGCATGCTTTTGGAAGACCGTCATGATTGTAGGCATTGCGATCAATAGATAATCTGAGTCTTCTCTCTCGCACCGGCCCACGCTGCGGCAGAAACTCCGCCACCTGTTTGAGAGGCTGGACGATGTGTTGTAAGAGTCAAGTCGATCCAGCACTCCATCGTCATTTACCACGCGGAAAGCTCTGGCAGGGAGAGAAGCTGTTTTGTGGCACACCAGTCCGGTCACATACATAGGCAGCGTACCGTCATGGATCATCACCACCATTCCACCCTCAGGCCGCTTCGCGAGCATTTGCAATGTCCATTGCATGGACGCAAAGCGAAGCACGGAGTGTGTCCCATTAGAGAAAAATATGATGTCAAACCTCTCCTTGCTATTATATGCAACCGGCATGGCACCGGTCAATGTAGGGAAAGCCATGTCAAGGGAAATTCGACGGATGTTGGGCGGACTTTCGAGGCAAGGTAGAGGAGACTCCGTGTCGGATGTGGAGTGAAGCCATTCTTCTAATATTGTAGCAGACGAATCTTCCGGTTCGATTGCAGTGTATCGCCAGACCTTCCGTCTCAGACGCGGGGAGAGATAGTGGAGGATGCTCTTCGGGCCGGGTCGAATCTCCAGCACCGAGACATGATCACGCGAGTCAAAAAGAGGGTTCAGCAGTTGAGTCAGATGAGTTGTGGTGAAGTACTGATCTGTTGGCGATTCCGTGTCCAAGGTCACCGATGCAACCCTCTGCTCTGTGGCTGACAATGGCCGGCCTGCCGATGAGGCCTTTGCAATGAGCGAACGAGAAAGATTGTCAATGTTAAAATTGAGGTCAGACATGGCAACGTGGCTCAGTGCCTCTTGATGGGATGCTTCGGTTTGAGTTCCACGATCAGGGTGTCTTTGTCTGTGTATCGGTGTGGCTGACTTCTGAGATGAGCAGCTGATGAACAAGGGAATCAGATTGAGGGTTAAGATAGAAGATTTGATGGGGTAGTGTTGATGAAGAAAGTGAATGAAAGGGGATGAAGAAAGTTGAAGAGAAAAGAGAAGAAGAAGTTGGAGGGAGAGAAGGAGGGGTGTTGTTGGTTTTGTAGGCAGGCTGGAATGAAGAGCAAACGGCGCGCGGGGCTGGGGGGTGGCCTATCGTTTCATGATCCCAACTCATATCATTCACTCACATCATGAATACTGTTATCCTACTGTGTTACTCAGGAGGTTTTGACATTTCGGCAATTCTGCAGTGTGTTTGTCCAGAATGGGCATCGGTAGGAGTATAAGGAGCTGCAACTACTGTTTGATGAGGCCAAACAGGTACCAGGCACTCTGGTCAGGTTGGAATTCCATGCCAAAGTAAGTATAGATTGGCTCTTTGAAGTCATGAGCTCGAAATTAGGCCCCTTAATCAGTCTAGGAGAGAATTACATGGTGATACCACAGCAGACCCACCGCGAGGAAGAAAGTAACACCTACCCTGCTCAAGCGTTTGATAACCTTCGACCATTTCAACGTCCCGGGGAGGATTTCGTGACTCAGTCAAGACAGCAAGCTAGAGGGGATGAAGGTAACTTCCTCATCAAAGTAAGAGCTTCATCTTGTAATCGCCTAGCGGACGGGATGGAGCAACAGTCTCTTACCAGTCACCACCACGCCGTTCACACTGGCAACACCCGCTGGCAGCCATCCTGGACATAAATCACGACTAGTGGAATAATAGAGCACCCCTCTACAATCTACACCAGGTCTTTTCCCATTCTAGCTACAAACTGAAAGCTGAGATGATAAGGCTGTCTGCAGCTTCTCCAGGGATTATCGGGGACTGCGAATCACTGAGGGTATTTATTCATGTTAACGGGCTTGGGTCCGCGGTTCCGGGATATGGCCAGGCTCTTACTTATACTCTGCCACCACCAGAAGGATCGTAGCACTTATTCCCAGTGTGGCAGGTAGTCGCAGTCCTGTGACAATTATGACTTGAGCCACTGGGGTCTAACGAGGGTGTTCCTTGAACTCACATGACACATGCCTCTGCATTGGAGAGACCCCCCCCCTACAGGTCAGATATGCATTTCTTCATCCAGAATACTTCTTCGACCTCTGGGCTATGAATTGGATGATGAAGCTTGTCTTTGTAGAAAGTGTCTCTAAACATTCACTGTGGACTGGTGGGCCCCGCTATCTATGATATACACCTCGGGTGATGATACTCCAAGTAAGGTATCAAGTCCATAATCCGGAAAGATAGTTGGGCCAGCTCGGAGGTTCAGGGTGATATGCAGCAGCGCAACCTCGTCACCACCACATCACCACCACCACCACCAACCTCAAACTCTCACCACCATCCACCCAAACCACCCAAGAAACACAATCAGATAAGATCATCCCCCCCTACCAATGTCTCACCGCGTCCCAACCAACACGTCCAAGCGGAGCCTCAGCCCTAAAGGTGGCTTTTCGTGATCGGTTGACATCTCGCCGGCGCAGACGCTGTGATTGGCTCTCGTCACGTCAGCCCCCCTGTCGACGCGTCCCGGTCTCTGATTAACACTGGGACAGCCCTAAAAGTGGCTTTTCGTGATTGGTTGACATCTCGACGGAGGACGCACGGTGATTGGTTGGTGGGTGGGCGCGTCGCGGTGCGAGTAACACGCTCCTTGTTTCAGCCTTAGGGGTGGATTTTCGTGATTGTTTTTGCATCTTGGTGGTTGGGTGGGTGGTTGCGGTTATTGTGGGTGGTGTTGTTGGGGGTGGTGGGGTGTT